TGCTTGGACGAGAGCCGCATGTTGGAAGCGGCCCGCCCTGAATCCGTGAAGCTCCTGCAATCTTTTGGAACGACTGAGCGCGGCTTTAAAGCCAGAACCATCTTTCGAAAATGGGCTGCCCTCAATCCGTGAGGTTCTGGCAATTCAAAAGAAACGCATGTGCGCGGCGCTAAGGCGAGAGGTACATTTTGAAAAGAGCCCGCCCTCAACTCGTGAAGCTCTTGCAGATTCTTAAAAGGAGTGTGTGCGGCGGTTGGGCGAGAGCCACATTTTGGACGCTGCTGCGAAATATTTAACCGCTTCGCTCATTCCGCCGGCCCATATTGTCGCACCGTTGTGGGCTAGCCGAGTTTTGGGGCCTCTTGGGGGCCGTTTTTGGGCCTCTTGGGGCCTCTTTTGGGCCTCTTGGGCGCCTCTTGGGGCGTCTTGGGGGCCTCTTGGGGGCCTCTTGGGCCTTTTTGGGGCCTCCTGGGTGCCTTCTGGGCGGAGGGCTCGATTTTCAGTTCTCGGTTCTCCTCCTCTGAGCCCCTCTTGGGCCCGTCTTGGGGCCTCTTGGTCCGTCTGGGCGGCACTTGGGCCGTCTGGGGGCCCTCCTGGGCCGTTCCGGGGCCGTCTTGGGAGCCTCGTGGCCCGTCTTGGAGCGGTCTTGGGGGCCTCTTGGGCCGTCTTGGAGCGTCCGGAAGCCGAAAAAGCCAGAACGCAAAAAACATAGAAAAAAAAATGAAAATCAACGATTTTGGCCTCTTGGGGCCCTCTTCGGAGGCCTCTTGGAAGGCCCTTGGGGCGTCTTGGAGGCCTCTTGGGCTGTCTTGGGGCCCTGTTGGGCGTCTTCGGGCGATCTTTGGCCGTCTCGGGGCCCTCTTGGACCGTCTTGGAGGCTTTTGGGGGACCTCTTGGCCCGTCCTGGGGCCCTGTAACAGGGCTCCGGCATCTCTGGCCCGACCTTGCCGGGACCTTGCCGGGACCTTGCCGGGGTACTTTTCGTCCGGGGACCCCCAGGGGCCGCCCCGCGCGCGCGAACTAGAAGTACTGTTAACCAGGTACCGGAGATCTTAGCACGCCCTGGCCCGTTGGGCCGGCGAATTTTGGTTCAGGATCATGATGGTAAGGAAGTCTCAGGCGAACCGCCTGGCCCGCCCTTCCGACCAGCTTCGGGGTGCGACGAGGAGTAGCTGTGTATGAGGAAAAAGAACGGAGGAGGAGAATGAGGAATTGGACGAGGAGTTGGAGGAGGAGGAAGAGGAGGCTGGGAAGATGAAGAGGAGGAGGTTGAGACAACGGAAAATGTGCAGGTGGAGGAGGGACGGCCAGAGCGAACCCAAGATGCATCAACCATGCTCTCACACACCCTTCGTCACCCTTCCATTCAAATCCCTACAGCCGTCTTGCTCCGCGCACTGCGCGTGCATGTCTGTGAGAAGGCCTGATGTGGCGCTCGATCGGGTGAATCTACAAACGGTTTAGCGCAACGGGGAGGGACGAGAGGGATGGCCTGGATGTCATGTGTGGCGCGAGCGCGCTCGGCTTGCCGCTCCCCGCCCTTTTCCTTCCCCTCCCTCCTCCCCCCTCTCTGCCCTAGTGGACACGGGCGGCCATGGCCACGTGAGTCCGCCTATGTATCACATCTTTGAAGCCGAGGCCTCCACGCCATATTCGATCGAGCCGGCTCGGTGTCGATGTCGGCCAGCTTGAGCTTATTTGATTCCGACTCTCCGACGATCCGATGCGGCCAGTTGGTTGCATGCGCTGTTGTACGTCCCGGCGCAGCCGATTCGATGTGATCTCGACTCCGTTGCGATGCTTTCCGATCCGAGGCACGATCCGATTCGATCCGATTTTCCAATCCGATGCCGACTGCTCCTGTCCTCCGCAGGTGAGGCCGCCAGGCGGCGCCACCGAGCGGGTGGACGCCGCCCGCGTCCGGGGCGTGGTGGTCGATTGCCACCTCTGGGATCTCCCCGGCGCCGGCACCCCCGGCTACCCGCAGGAGGGGTACGTGCGCGTCGGCTGGCGCCTTGGCCGGCCGTGGATTTGTTTTTGGGGCGGACAGGGGGAGGTCCCCCTGTTCTCCTCATGTTCCAGTATGAGAATGAGTAGGAGGGGTGGGCAGGAGGGGTGGGCAGGAGGGCGAGGAGGAGACTGATGAGGAGACTGATGAGGAGGATGATAATGATGATGATGATGATGATGATGATGATGATGATGATGATGATGATGATGATAAGATGATGATGATGAGGATGATGAGGAGGAGGAGGAGGAGGAGAGGAGGAGAAGAAAGGAGAGGAGGTGGAGGAGGAGGAGGAGGAGGAGTTGAACGAGGAGGGAGCCAGAGGAAGAGGAGGAGGAGGAGGAGGAGGAGGAGGAGGAGGAGGAAGAGGAGGAGGATGATGATGATGAGGAGGAGGAGGAGGAGGAGGAGGAGGGAGGCCGGGGGGGAGGGATGCTGGAGAAGGGGCAGGAGGAGGCAAGGAGAAGGGACGAGGAGGTGGATTAGCGGTTGCGAGGGCCAGTTGCATTAATTCACGTTTTCTGGATCACCAGACGGAAGCGGAAGAGGAAACCAAGAAGTATGATACCGAACACAGTAAGAGAAGGCTCAGTTCAAGTGACCTTCCCAAATCGACAGCTTTGGTCCCTTTGGGGCCCTCGTGGAGGCCAATTTAAGCGGTCTCGGGGCTCTCGAAAGGCCCTTTCGTGGTATTCTGGGGCCTTGTTGGAGCGCTCTTGGTGTCCTCTTTTGTGGATCCCTTCGGCCTCTTCTGTCTTTGTAGTGGTCCCTCTCGGCCAATATTTGCGTGGCTCTTGCTGCCGTCCCATGGGACGGGCTTTATTCTCAACCCTCCTGCGTTGGTTTCTCGCTTTGACCAGAGCTCTGCGGTCGCAGCTCCTTCTGCCGACTCCCTCATCGTTTCACACCTCGCCGTCATTTGTAACCTCACCATTCCTGCGGGGCTGCGAGCCGCAAAACTGTCGCCAGTTTCAAGGACTACTGGGGGGTCGGGCATAGTGACGCCCAGGGGAGATTCAGATTATACCTCCCCATCCCTGGGGGTCAGCGAACTGCAAAATTGTTGCCACCATCGAGGGCTGCTGGGGGGGCCAGCATGGTGACGTCCTACGCAGATTCAGATTCGACCTCACCATCCCTGGCGGGCTGCGATGTGCGAAACTGTCGCCAATCCGAGGACTGCTGAGGGTTCCAGCATGGGGACTTCCTGCGGATATTCAGATTAGACCTGACCGTCCCTGGGGGGCTGCGAATTGCGAAACCATCGCCAGTTTCGAGGACTGCTGGGGGTTCCAGCATAGTGACGTCCTGCGCACATTCATCTTAGACCTCACCATCCCTGGGGGCTGCGATGTGCGAAACTGTCGCCACTTCCGAGGACTGCTGGGGGTTCCACCATAATGACGTCCTACGCGCACATTCAGCTCAGACCTCATCATCCCTGGGGGGCAGCGAATTGCGACACTGTCGCCACTTTTGTTGGCTGCTGGGGGGTCCAGCATGGTGGCATCCTACGCAGATGCCCCATCCTTGGGGGGCAGCAAACTGCAAAACTGTCGCCACTTTCGTGGGGTGCTGGGGGGTCCAGCGTAGTGGCGTCCTACGCAGATTCAGCTTGGACACCCCCATCCTTGGGGGATAACGAACTGCGAAACGGTCGCCAGTTTCGAGGGCTGCTGGGGGGTCGAACATAGTGACACCCTACGAAGATTCATATTCGACCTTCTCATCCTTGGGGGGCTGCGAATATCGAAACTGTTCACAGTTTCGAGGGCTACTGCGGGGTCCAGCTCCAACGCAGATTCAGATATGACCTCGCCATCCCTAGGGGGCTGCGATCTGCGAGACTGTCACCACTTTCGAGGGCTGCTGGGGTGGCAGCGAATTGCGACACGGTCGCCACTTTCGAGGGCTGCTGGGTGGTCGATCATAGTGACGTCGTGCGGACATTCAGATTAGACCTCCCCTTTCCTGGGGGCTGCGTTTTCAGAATTTGTCGCCATTTTCGAGGGCTGCTGGGGGTTCCAGCATAGTGACGTCGTGCGGAGATTCAGATTAGACCTCCCCATCCCTGGGGGGCTGCGATTTGCGAATCTGTCGCCATTTTCGAGTGCTGCTGGGGGGTCCATCAAAGGGACGCCGTGCGGATATGCAGATCAGACCTTGCCATCCCTGGGGGGCGGCGAATTGCGAAACTGTCGCCACTCTCCAGGGCTGTTTGGGGGACAAACATGGTGAAGTCCTACGCGGACTCACATTAGACCTGGGGTCGGTTTTGTGCCGTGCCTCAGCCGTCGTGGTCCGCACACGGGCAGTTTTGGGCAAGAAGAACCAACCCCCTCTTACCCAGGCAGAGCCACCTCGGCACCCGTGCATGCCGCGAAGCAAGGCTGATGCCCAGCACCATGCTCTCACACTGGAAGTCATCCTCCCGAGTGCCTCCTCCTCGCAGTCCTTTCGGGATCACGCGCCTGATCGGCGGCTCTGCGCCTGGTGAGGTGAGGTAGAGGGGATCTGAAGGAAGCAGGGGAGGAAGTGGACGCAACAGAGGAGGCGCCCTGCGTGTGATGGGGGAACGAAAATGCATAAACATGAAAACTTGGAGATCCGCGCGGATTCCTCGGACATGCGCTGGACTCGCCCTCCCTGGCGCGCGGAGCGCGCCGGAGGCGCCGCCAGGGGGGCCCAGCGCGGATCCGAGAAATCCGCGCGGACCTTCGAGTTTTTCTGTTTGTGTCATCGTTCGTTTATGTACGTATCCACGTAGAGTAGCAATTTAGAATCAGCTCCAGTCCACTGTGGCGCTGACGCTGTTTGCTGCCGGGGAAGTATAGGGGACGCCAGGGCGTAACCGTTTGCAAAGAAATAAGATTGTTCGTTTCCCTACGTGAGTCTCAGACAATGTGGCGCGCCCGTGCGCTGGCGGACAGCTCGCATGGGGCTGGCGCACTTCGACCTCGTGGTCATCGTCACCGCGTCGCGCTTCACGGAGAGAGCCAGGGGCGCCTCTCCCCCGCTCATGGCGGCCACGTGCTGGGGGAGCTGTGCTCCTTCTCCCCGTTGGGGGGAGGGGCCATGGGCTTCGGCGCTCCCCTCGAAATATTCATGCGATCGCAAGCATGGATCAAGGGGGCGCGGATCAGCGACGGGTCCCGTTTCCATGGGAAATCGCGGATCTCCGCCGCCGAGCGAGGCGGCACCGGCCGCTTTTTGGGGATGGAACGCGCGCCGAATCCATGGATCGCCAATCCATGTTTTGCGCGCCCTGAAATATGGTTGGTACGATGGCTTCCTCCAGGGGGAGCAGGAACGTAGCTCCTCCAGTCATGGCTGGTCGGAGCCTTCAGTTGTTGCCGCCGCTTCTGACGTTCGTGTCTTTGCATCTCATTTTGGCTCCCGCTGCTGCTTGCAATGAAGCTGTCACCATCACTATCCTTGTCGCTGTCATGCTGGACTCGCATACTGCCATTCCGCCTGGCAGCTTTCCTACATTCGATTCGGAGAACCCTCGTTGCTGAATTGTAGCTGTTCCCGCGGCACGCTTCGCGACTGTGCAAGTTCGTTAGGCTCACCTCATTGCCACTTGATCAAAACCAGGATCCAACTACTTCTGTCAGATTCAGCATAACGGGATCTGTGACAATTTGGAACGCAAGCTCGTACGTACACATGGAGGTGACGCGTCGTGACTCTGATCGCGGTTTGCTCTTGCAAGCAGGGGCCGGAGTGAGCGCCTACAGGCAGTCTCAGAAGCTGCAATGACACGGCATCGAGGGAGGAAGACACCCTCCTCCTGCTCCATTTCTCCCTGAACATCCGCTGTTGTCGTTGGAGAAGATGAGGACGGAGCAAAAAGACGGCTAAATGCGATACCCTTCAGAGGCCCAGATGCACCCACGTCCACTGTGTAATCTTGCGCGTTCTGATGCCACGATTTCCAGACAGCTGGAAGCTTGTCTTGGAAGCCATGCGATTTAAGGAGGATAGGGGGGAAAAGACGGAGCAAGATGACGATTTGGAGGAGGAGGGAAGATACGGGAGAGGAGGGGGAGGGGGGACAACAGGAGGAGGAAGAGGAGGGGGACAAGGAGGAAGAGGATGATATGGACCTGGTCGAGTAGGGAGGGAGGGAGGGAGGGAGGGAGGGAGGGAGGGAGTGTGTGTGTGGGTGGAGAGGACGGTGGTGATGATGATGAGGAGGATGACTTGGATGATGAGGAAGGAGGACCAGTACCAGCAAGAGCATGAGCGGGGTGAGCACGAGGACGTGAGGAAGGCGAAGGAGGGGAAAGGCGGGAGGCGTCAGCGCCGAGAACGAGACGTACCTAGAAACGATGCCCTGGTTCGAGCGAGAGCGCCATTCTGTTCGACGGGCGCAGAGCACCGATCCAGAAGAGCGAGCACGCGCTGCAGCAGGACCGCCCTTGAGGTGCAGAGAGCTTTCCGGTCGAATGGTCATACAGAGCATCAGGCATTGATGTCTTGTGCGTGTGTGTGTGTTTGTGTGTGTGTGTGTGTGTGTGTGTGTGTGGAGGCTCTTTCATTCATCACGGCGCGTTCGACTGAGTTCGTTCGCAATTGGCACCTCCACCTGCCGACCGGGTCTGAGGTTCCCTGCGCCGCCGACTTTATAAAAAGTGTGTGTGTGTGTGTTTGTGTCACGCGCCAGTCTGCCTAACACCGTCGTGTCGGTGATCCAGACGTTGCCAATTCTCACCAGCCTGTTCGCTTCAGTTGAGTTCGAGTTGAGCCGCCCCGTCGGTTGTCTTGGCGCTGCGCGTATCCTTTGGATTTACAATTTTTCAAGCCACCCTTCGCTGCAATGACAGTGTGCACGGTTCGCGCAGTGTCTCTTCGACAGCGTCCGATCGCAATCAGCTTTTCCACCTGTTTCTCGCACCTGAGGTTCCTCTGCGTCGCCTACTTACAAGTGTGTGTGTGTGTGTCGTGGGACTGGTGCGCGTGGGGCGCGGGGATGCTGCACCTTTCGCGGGCTCTCTCGCTGGAGGGCTGCGGGTGCTGCTCGCGCAGCAAACCTAGCTGGTTTTTGGCTGGCCAGCCATCTTGCGGGTAGTCGCTGGGCGTGCGCCTTGGGCGGATGCGTCGCCCATGGCTGCTTTCTCGCGTCGGCACGGCCGGGTGGTTCTCGCGTCCCGTGTTCACGCTTCTCGCCTCCTCCTTGGCGTCGGCGTTGTTTGGCTGGGTGGCCAGTCGGCGCGTGCAGCGCGTTTTGCAGCAACACGGCTTTGGCGATTTTGCTCATCCCCAAAGTTACAGTCTCGGGGTTTACCCTTCTGAGCTGTTGGCAGGTGACACGTCCAATGGTACTCCTGCACTACAGCTTGGTGCTTGCAATGCCCGGCATGCCGGTTGTGCACTTGTTCACGCTTTTGATGCTGTCGCGTGGCGGACCCCACCCATCGAATTTGGTCGCGTGGTTGGTCACAATACCGGTCTGCGTTTCAGCTTTAAACCCGCGCTTCACAGCCGAACACCGCTGTTGGGATTCAGTGGCCGCATTTGCCGTCGGCGCCCGCGCTTCAGTTAACTGAGTTGAGTTAGTTCCTCGTTTTCTGGGCCCTTGCACGTTCGCCAGGACTTGCAGTTCCTCTTCGCATCCATCGCTTACATGTTGCGGTGAGCTGCTGCACGCTGCGCAATCGACAGTGTTCCGTTAGCAATTAACACCTCCATCAGCTGCCCGTGCCTGAGAATCCTCCGCGCCGCCGACATGAACATTTTTTTTGTTGTGTGTGTGTGTGTTGTTTTTTTGTTTTTGTGTGTGTGTGTGTGTCCGTCTTCATTTTGGCTCAGCCCGTCTCCTGGAGGGTTTCTTCCTCCTGGTGTCAAGGCTCAAGGTCCAGTGCCTCCGTGCGCACGCCAGCTCCCGTAGGTGGCTTTCCACCACAGTTGGGGCGGCATGCAGGGCGAAGAGGAAAGCGCTGGAAGCGCAGACGACAGAGGCCGAGACAGTTCGTTCTCTCACGTTGAGTATGGTCTTCGAGACGACGGACCTGCGCTTCTCTCTGATGTTGCTCCCCACCTGTCGGAATAACCCCCCAACGGCGACGTTGATGCGATGGCGGGCCCCCTAGCGGGGGACCAGTCCCGAATCGATCTGGCTCGCTTAGAACGACAGCGTGTCTTTGAATGCGACCTTCGCTACAGGCCGCACCAATGCCGCCACCCATGCTCGCGTCAAGTGTACCCCGCCAATTCTGAAGAGTGGGCTTGCGTTGGCGTGACGGTGGAAGGCGAGATGAGTCTTGCGTGGAGCAGGCCTGCCATCTGCTCGAGATTCTGGCGTGCCGAGATCGCCGCCCACAGTCTGCAGCTGGCCGAGGAGTGATATCGTGACCGCCCCACGGGTCACTCGCAGCAGCATGAGAGTGCCGACGGCCATTTGTATTGCGATACGGACCAGGTGAGGGGCAACTGTTGTGTCTGCCCCTGTTGCAGGAGCGGGTCAGATCTGAGTTGGGTAAGGAGTGCGTCGTGATGCAAGAGAGCCGGAATTCCCGAGAGCAGGGACAGCTTGCGATGCCGAAAAGGGTTCCAGGAAACCCCAGAAGTGCGCGGGCACCGAGAATGACGGACAGCATCAGCAGCGGCTTCGAGGCTACACCGCAGCCGCCAAGTCCCCCCGAGCCCGCGCGACAGCGTGGCATTTATTCCCTTCCTAGTGTTTCTCGTCGGCCGCGAGCTGCGCCGATCGCGCGGGGGGTCCGCGGCGCTGTCGGGCGGCGGCGCGCGGCAAAGGTGGTTCTGCGCTGGGCGGGCGACGCGATCCACAGTGCAAATGATGTGTTTTGGTATTCGGCTGTGTTATCTGGGCCTCTTGGATCTTTCGTCGATCGTTCGGCCGGGGCCGACCTCCCAAGCGCTTTCCTCTTCTCCCCGCCTCTCTGCCGCTGGTGCCTGCCAGGCCCAGGCGAAGGCAGGCGTCGTTGATCGACGCGTCCAGGTCGGCCCCCCCCCAGCGGCGTGCCTTCCAGCAGGGGTGCCCTTGGCGGCTGCTTGCCGGGTCTTCGGCTTTCTTTTCCGAGTGGGGCCCTCGCTGCCCGCGTGTCACGGGTCTCGCATTCTGGCTGGGGCCGGGGGCCGCGCCGGCGCCTCGGGCAGACGCGCTGAGCCCGGCCGACCGTGCATGGTTCGGCGGCCGGCGCGACCTTCTGCTGATGGCTGCGCAGTGTCCGCCGTTTTGCAGCAGAGGGCCTTCCCGCGCGAAGTTTTTAATGGTGGCGCGTTGAAGCAGCAGGCCTCCGCCTATGCCAACTCGTTTTCCAGATTGCATCAGTGTGGGGGAACAGGTTTTATTGGTATCCGCGAAGACTGGGTTGGGTGACGCCGCGTGATTTGCGACGCCAGATTTGTCGACGCGTTCTTCAAGGCACCACCCAGCGCGCCGGCTGCCAGCCTCGGGTGCTTTTCCTTCATTGGAGACCTTCGAGAAGCCCGTGTGCGTCGCTGTTGGGGACTGGGGCTGCCCCTTCTATCCTCTTGGGCTTCTGGAGGACATGGGCGTGTTTTTCTGGTTCCCCGCGGTCGACCCCACGTTGGTCGAGGGGTTCTTCCTAGGCGGGTCCGTGGTCCCACCTGGCATCCCGCTCCTGCCCCGCCTCGCAGTCACCTCCGTGGGTTGGTCCTAGGCCATGGGCCTCCGTCGGGGGTTCTTCGGCGCAGCATCTTTCAGGCGGGGCCCTCGGGGGCTTCTCTCTTTGGTGACGGTCGGGCAGGCGTGCTTCTCGATTGGCCCCGGCTGGTTGGCTGCGCAGCTTGCGTTGGCACCTTTTTCATTATTGTTTAGGATCGGCTTCAGACGACCAAGAACATGCAGGCCGTCGCAATCATTCCTAGGGGCCAGGAAATTGTTGTCCATGCGCTCGAGGAGGGGCCCACCGACTGCTCCTTCCTCTGCGTGGCGCTCTCAGGGGGCGCGCGGCTGAGTGTCGAAAAGCGAAGCATCTGGGGGCTTAGACTCTGCGTCGA